TGTATCCATTCAGCCAGCCTTTGTCTTTTGGTTGGGGCATTCAACCCATTTACATTTAAGGTAATTATTGATAGGTATGGTCCCGTTGCCATTTATTTTGTTGTTTGGGGTTCACGTTTATACCACCTTTCTGTGTTTCCTGTCTAGAGAAGATCCTTTAGTATTTGCTGAAGAGCTGGTTTGGTGGTGCTGAATTCTCTCAGCTTTTGCTTGTCTGTAAAGCTTTTGAGTTCTCCTTCATATCTGAATGAGATCCTTGCTGGGTAGAGTAATCTAGGTTGTAGGTTATTCTCTTTCATTACTTTAAGTATGTCCTGCCATTCCTTTCTGGCCTGGAGGGTTTCTTTTGATAGATCAGCAGTTATCCTTATGGGAATCCCTTTGTGTGTTATTTGTTGTTTCTCCCTTGCTGCTTTTAATATTTGTTCTTTGTGTTTGATCTTTGTTAATTTGCTTAATATGTGTCTTGGGGTGTTTCGCCTTGGGTTTATCCTGTTTGTGACTTTCTTGGTTTCTTGGACTTGGGTGGCTATTTCCTTCCCCATTTTAGGGAAGTTTTCAGCTATTATCTCCTCGAGTATTTTCTCATGGTCTTTCTTTTTGTCTTCTTCTTCTGGGACTCCTATGATTCGAATGTTGGGGCATTTCACATTGTCCCAGAGGTCCCTGAGGTTGTCCTCATTTCTTTTGATTCTTTTTTCTTTTTTCCTCTCTGCTTCATTTATTTCTACCATTTTATCTTCTACCTCACTTATCCTATCTTCTGTCTCCGTTATTCTACTCTCGGTTTCCTCCAGAGTGTTTTTTAATCTCATTTATTGCATTATTCATTTTTAATTGACTCTTTTTTATTTCTTCTAGGTCTTTATTAAACATTTCTTGCATCTTTTCAATCTTTGTCTCCAGGCTATTTATCTGTAACTCCATTTTGTTTTCAAGATTTTGGATCATTTTTATTATCATTATTCTAAATTCTTTTTCAGGTAGATTCCCTATCTCATCCTCTTTTGTTTGACTTGGTGGGCATTTTTCATGTTCCTTTACCTGTTGGGTATTTCTCTGCCTTTTCATCTTGTTTAGATTGCTGTGTCTGGAGTGGGCTTTCTGTATTCTGGAGGTCTGTGGTTCCTTTTTATTGTGGAGGTTTCACCCCGTGGGTGGGATTGGACAATTGGCTTGTCAAGGTTTCCTGGTTAGGGAAGCTTGCGTCGGTGTTCTGGTGCGTGGAACTTGATTTCTTCTCTCTGGAGTGCAATGGAGTGCCCAGTAATGAGTTTGGAGATGGGTCTATGTGTTAGGTGTGACCTTGGGCAGCCTGTATGTTGACGCTCAGGGCTATGTCCCTGCGTTGCTGGAGAATCTACGTGGTATGTCTTGCTCTGAAACTTGTTGGCTCTTGGGTGGTGGTTGGTTTCAGTGTAGGTACGGAGGCTTTTGGACGGTCTCTTATTATTTAAAGTTCCATGTAGTCAGGAGTTTTCTGGTGTTCTCAGGTTTGGGGCTTAAGTCTCCTGCCTCTGGATTTCAGTTTTATTCTTCCAGTAGTCTCAAGACTTCTCCAACTAAACAGCACTGATAATAAAACTTCTAGGTTAATGGCGAAAAGATTCTTCCCCGTTAGGGACACCCAGAGAGGTTCACAGAGTTACATGAAGAAGAGGAGAGGGAGGAGGGAGATAGAGGTGAGCAGGAGGCGAAAAGGGGGACTCGAGAGGAGAGAGACAGACCTACGCAGGTGTCTGTTCCCAGAGTGGTCTCCGTAGCCCAGACACCCACAGAGATTCACAGAATTGGATTGGGAAGAGAAGGGGAAAGGAGGAAATAGAGGTGTTCTGAGGTAGAAAATGGAGAATCAAAAGTGGGAGAGAGTAATCAACACACTCCTGAATAGAAATGGGAACTGAATATTGGATTCTTAAATGTCCACAATTTATATAATATACTGAAAAACAAAGATTAAAAATCTAGAGTAGAGGTTAGACTCTTAAAAACACTATATTAAAAACAAAAGACAAAACACACAAAAAAATTTTAGAAATATATATGAACTTCGGTTTAAAAATAGGGCTTCTCTTCTTTTTTTTTTTTGTAAGGTTATAGTGTAATGAAAATGAAATTAAGGAGTAGTAGAGGAGTAATAGAGGACTTTAAAAGGAAATAAGAGAAAAAGAAAAGTAGAAATTAGAAGAGAAAAAGGAAAAAAAAAAAAAGAAAAAAAAATTTTCCTAATTAAAAAAATAGTAAAAATCTATGAAAATGAAAGTTAACGAGTAATGGGGGAGTAATAGGGAATTTTAAAGAAAATAAAAGAGAAAAATGAAAGAAAAAAATTTTTTTTCTTTACTTAAAAAAAAAGTAAAAATATATCTAGGAATTTCTCTGGAGCTGTTGCGGTCAGTGTGGGTTCGGTTCAGGTTCAGATAGCTCCTCGTTCCAGCTTACACTTCTCGATGTCTGCAGGCCCCTTCCGGTGTAGTCGGTGTTACCTACAGGGATTTTAATCCGTTGCACGGGTCCCTTCTGAAGCGGTTCCCTTTGTTTACTTGGCTTCTGTTTGCCGGTCTCTTCAGTGCCTAATTTCCGTCCTGACACAGGCGGGCGGAGGTGGTCTCTCGTTCAGGTTGCTAGTTCCGTCGCGCTGCGGGGAGGGGCCGGCGCTGCTTTCCCCGCTGCGCTCCTCAGGCTCCCCGCTGCTCTATATGGAGCGGGCCCTGCGCTGCGCGCGGTTCCAGCCCTCGGGTGTTCCACAAAAGCCCGGAAGAAAGAGCTGCGCCCGCTTCTTGTGCCTTCCCCGTCAGAGCTGCTCAGGCAGCCAGGAGCTCCCTGGGTGCGGCGCGCCTTCTGCCCTCCGCGTCCCCAGCCCCAGACCCCGCCCGCGCCGGTCGGGTGCCTGCGCCCTGTGTCTCGCCGCGACCCTCCCGGCGGATGGAGACCATCCAGACTCTCAGGAGGTCTTTGATTGGAAACTGGAGGCCTGTCTGCAGTGCGGTAGGGGATGTGGCCCTTGGGGCCGAGCCTGCCCCTTTCCCCTCCCCACTGCCTCCAGCCTCCGGCGGGGCTGGGCCAGTCCGCAGCCTGCGAGCTCTTCTCTGGGCTTGCCTCGTCCCTTTGTTGTGCGAAGAGCCAGCAGTGTGTTCGGGCAGGTTAATTTTCTCTCTCTTTTGCTGTCCCACAGTTTAAGTTGGTAACGCACAAAAGCTCCCTCTGATTGTCCTCAGGGCACTCAGGCCCGCTCCTTACCCTAAGCAATGCTGCCCGCTCCTCTCCGTTCCTCCCCCACTTGCTGGTGGCGGATGCGGGCGTCTGGGGTACTTTTCTGCTGGGAGTTGCGTTTAGGCACGTAATCTGTGGGTTTTATTTATTGTTCCCCTCCGAGTCAGGTTGCCCTCTGAGATTCAAAACCTTCCCCCAGACCAGCCAGTGCGAGGGTTTCCTGTTGTTTGGAAACTTCTATTAAGACTCCCTTCCCGGGATGGATCACCGTCCTTAGCTCTTTTGTATCGCTCTTTATCTTTTATATTTTGTCCTACCTCCTTTCAAAGACAATGGGTTGCTTTTCTGGGTGCCTGATGACCTCAGCTAACGATCAGAAGTTGTTTTGTGAAGTTTGCTCTGCGTTCAGTTATTCTTTTGATGAATTTGTAGGAGAGAAAGTGGTCTCCCCGTCCTATTCCTCCACCATCTTGGCTCCTCCCCCGGTTTTTGTTTTTGTTTTCCTACCAGTAATGTCACCTTGGAAGCCCTTGACCAAAAGTGGAAAATGTAAAAGAATTAGAATAAGAATGAGGAGGCGGAGAGGAAAGAGAAAGTACAACTAAATAAAACCCAGTGGACAGGAGGAGGAGTTTTCATGCCCTTGGACAATCCCTGAATCCAACAAGAACAAAGTTACCTCTTCTTTTCTGCCAAAAACTCAGGTAAAGAAAAACCACAGAGTTTTAGTTACAAGAGCCCTCCCACCTCGCTTTTTACTTTGGTACAAAAGACAGTCTCTCCACTTCTACTGGGGACTTGCAGAGGACTTTTTATAATTGCAGACTCCAATTTGTAGTTCTCGGTTGGTCCTAAATAAATTCATCTTTGGCAATCTGTTTTATGTCCAAAAGTTTACTTTCCACGCTACTTTTCCTTTTTTATTGGTTCCATACTATACTAAGCCAGTCACCTGGATGGACTTGTGGACATTCTTGCAACATCCTTGCTTAGACGAGAGAAGGTGGCCACAACCAGCCTGTGAGAGACTAGAGGAAATGAAGTTTATCACAGTCCTGCTGAGAGGGGATATGGATATAGGTCATCATATGGATATAGTGAAGGTCATCATCCACTTTGGGGTCAAATTTGGGGTACAGATGTAAATTAGCAAGTAGGTGAATTTGCAAAAACGGAATCCATGTATAATGAGGATAATTTCCTGTGGGACATCAGATTACAGTCTAGAACACTACAACTTGCAGACTTCAAAGTATTTGTGAAGGTAGACTGAAAGCAGGAAGATGTGTCTTTTCACTGAACATTTACAGAAACAACAAAAAGTAATATTTAAAGGTTTCCTGGGACTTCTTGGGTCATTCACTAGATTTGATGACTTTGGACTTAAATGAAAAATGACGGTGAGCCTCAGAGTTGTATTCAGCGTCTTTGACAAGACAAAAACAAAACAGAGAAAACACACAATTCTAACGATTGGATTACATGGGGGTGTTGGTACATATTCCACACAGACATATATACACAAACACACAACTATACTTAAACGAAAAATAAAAACTATGTATGGTTTTATGAAAGCAGTATAAGCCACAATAATGGAACAGTGAGGACACAAAAGAGGTTTCCAGGGAATCGCTGGGCGGGACGAGAAAACCAGATTCCACCACTAGTTCCCTCCCGGCGCCCCCGGGGCACAGGCTCCTGGGCGCAGTCCTGAACGTGGTGGGTCCCGCGCGCCCCCTGGTGGTCCGGGGCGCCCATGCAGGGAGGTTTGTGTCCGGGCTCACTCTGACTTGCCCTCACTGTGTCTCTTGCACAGTAATACACGGCCGTGTCCTCAGGTGTCACGCTGCTCAGTGAGAGAGAGACTTGGCTCCTGGAGGTGTCCCTGGTGATGCTGAGCCGGGATTTCAGGGCTGGGTTATAGCATGTGCTTCCACCACTACTGATTCCACCAACCCACTCCAGCGCCTTCCCTGGAGCCTGGCGGACCCAGCCTACACCATAGCTGCTTAGTGAGAATCCAGAGACAGCGCAGGTGAGGGAGAGGGTCTGTGAGGGCTTCACCAGGCTGGGTCCCGACTCCTGCAGCTGCACCTGGGACAGGACGCCTGTGGACAGAGAGAAGCACGGTGACTCACGGGCTCAGATGCAGCTTCCCCACGTGCCCATGTCTGATCCAGAGACACTCACCGCTGGGAGCTGACAGCAGGAACAGGAAGGTCCACAGTGGGCTCATCTTCGAGCAGATGAGAGTCACCGCTCCCGGAAATCTCTTCAAGCCTGAGGAGCAGCCTGAATTTAAGTGACCTGGTGCTTTGTTTCCACCCTGTGACCTGAGCGGATCTTTGCATGTGGGAGGGGCCTCTGCATAAAAACAGAAAACAATGAAAGGAGGTCCTGTCTATGAGGCTCCCCCTGTGAGGAGGTGCTGACTGTGCCCTGAGAGAACTCAGTCCCTGCCTGAAGACCCCCCTCCCCATGCCCCCGGGCCTCTGTGTCCAGGAATGAAAGGATGGGGATCGGCTCATCAGGAAAAAAGATGTGGTCAAATATCAAGCACAGATTTTGGGAAGAGAGTAATCCCATGGAGGTTCATCTCTTCATTTGTCAAATAAACAGCTCAGATTCAAGGTCTGCATACTTGTCAGAAACTCTTATTTATTGTTCTTTTCTGCATTAGCTTATGTTCATGAACAGGATTTTAAAACAGGAGGGAGAGATTATGTGATAATTGCATTCAAAAAAACTCAGTATAATTTAAATTTATCATAACTCCAAAGGATTTTTTATTTCCGTTAACAGGCAAGGCCATTTCTTCATCTGAAGCAGTTTGAAACCAAGAGTTTCTCTGGAGGTGGCATGTTCATAAGTACTAACCATGCAGTTAACTTTTTGGACAAAGTAGTCATTTCTGCTGAGAAGCTCATCTTCCCACATGGCTGACTTGCCCAGTGGGCTGTCCTGCATGATCCTATGCACAACTGAGTGTCTGCAGGAGCTTGTGGACCTCAGGACCTGCTTCTGGAGGGTGGACATTGCGGACTTTAAGGCTACCAATTACTAAGGACAGACAGCGCCCGGGAGCTCCTAGTGCTCTGACGTGCTGGGCAGGTGCCCTGGTCACTCTGCACAGACTCCGCACTCCTCCAAGTGCTTATTTCTTCCTCTCTGTGTCCCGGCCGTGAGATGGGAGCTCAGGGAACATAGTCCCCACCACAGTGGTGAGAGGACACGCATGGTTCGTGGAGGTAAACCTTCACAGTGAACGGCGTGCAGTGTGAGGGCGGCATGGTCAGAGGAAAGCCCCTCCTCAGGAAGCAGGTTCCCTTGAAAACCCCACTGAGAGCAGCTTTCCCGAGCCCAGGGGCTCCGTGTCCTGGACTGAGCCTGAGGTCCTCTGAGTCAGCAGTGCTGGAGAGCAGAGCACAGCTCCCCCGTCTCCCTGTGGCCCTGAGGCTGTGGCCTCGCGCCTGCATCCCGGCTGTGAGCATGGAGACTGGGGATGACGGCCGTCACCGCGTGTCTGGACTTTAGGTGGGCTTTCCGGGGGTGGTGAGTGCTGCCATCAGTGGTGTTATCTCTCCTGGAGCCAGGAAAGACCGGTGTGGGTCCCCATCGCTGACTGACGCCCTGTCCGTGTGACCCTCGCCTTCTCCTGCCCTGAGAACTCACCCCTTCGCGTCTGGGGCAGGTCAGCTCTTCCTTGGCACAGGGATCTCACCTGGACACTGACTGAGGTAGAACCTACTGTCTATGAAAAGCCCTTTCTGGTCTGGCTTTGGTCATGACACTTCTGCACCAGCATGTCTTCTGTAACAGATCCTGTTTCCCGACAGCGGGATGTGCTCTGGGGAGAGGTCCCAGCTCACTCTGCCTCAGAGTGTGTGGGATCATTTGTCCCAGATGGTATGCACCATCATCAGGACTCCTGTCTTGGATCAGGACCTGATCCACGTGACCCTGGAATTGTGGGCCTCTGGCATCCAGGTCACTGACCTTCTGAGGGATGAGAATGTGTCCTCATCCCTTGGCTCAACACCTTCGTCCATCACCAAAGCCAGTGGGGTCTTGTGTGCATCAACTAGCAGGCTTTCCTCTAATCCACTTTCTCTGATCTTGTGATTCCATTGGACCACCTGTAAAATCCAAATATGCTTCTCACCTCACGGGACTGGAAGACTGCAGACCACATCCCCA